TAAATGGGCTTTAGTATGCGCTGCTGTCAAGGGTATGCTTTTCCAGCAGTCTGCTTTGGGTATAGGAATCAGGATCTGGCAAAACAGTCGGGGATCTTGATATAAAAAGATTTGAGTTTCTGATTTTTTTTATTAAACATAGTATGAAATATTATTTAGTATGAAATATTAATAGAGAAGGTATTTCTGGTACTCAGCCTACAATCAGATCTCCAAATACTAACTGAATATCCGCTGCTATAACCCAAAAATGTCTGTTCCTAGCAACACACCCTATCGACAAATCTAGAGTACCTCCTTCCCCCCAGGTATCGAACGCACTTCACTAATCTCTGATTACTACTAGTTAAATGAAGTATTGGTAGCTGCCGATGTTTGCTCTGATTTCTTATTTTTTGTTTTTGTTTGTAAACAATGAAATACGGGGGGAGGCCTAAAAAAACCTGGAGGAGGTCAGCAGAGAAAGAACGTTTAAAAGTCCATACACCTGACCTGGGGCGAAATCCAGAAGGTGGCACGAGAATTTTCACGCTGGAGAGGGACTGTGAAGGCCTTGCGCGTCCCATGGCACAACGAGGACAGATTATGAAACAGTGGAATCTGCTAACTTTTACTAACCGAAGACTTCACTTTGACTGATATTACAGACGCAGGTTTTTCCCTACTCGGTTTTATAAACAGCACATTACAACTCTGCGGTTTAGCTCTCAACTCCGCATCTAGAGCACAACTTCTAATGCAACTTACGAAAGAGGCCATAAATTTTCTGAAACTGGTCTTACAACGTTTATTTTTACGTAGTCTTTATAGACAGCAACATTACGACTCTACGATCATTTTAGCTCTCAACCCCGCATTTAGAGCACTGCTTCTAATGCAACTTACGAAGGAGGCCATAAAAGTTCCTGACACTGGTCTTACTGAAAATAAAACGTCCTCTCAGAAAGGAACGCTAAACAGAGAGCAAAAAAAGTGTCTGAGTGAAAACACTTGAAGATCTAATGCCCAAGAGTGTATGAAGAGTAAGGCCCCGTTTACACGGGTACGGACAAATCTTTGCACCGACAAAAACTTGCACGGTTTCACCATGCGTTTACACGGGACAAGCGGAACTGGAAGACGTCTTGAACGGCTAAGTGTGCAAGTTTGGGACCTAAAAAACAGCAGGTCAACTTTTTGATCGGCACGGTTCCATATTTCGCACGGACTAGTGTAAACACCCGAACCGAGCAACTTTTTTAAAGCCTTGAATCTAGTTGTAATTTGCCTGGTTGCCTAGCAAAAATGAAACGTTTTGTTACATTTTTTCCCTGATTTGTTACAATTTGTTAAATTTAAGACAAAGAAACAAGCAAAAGCAGATTAATCCCTGATCACTGATTCCTCACGATTCCTCTTGACGATTTTCTTTAGTTTTTGGCAGTACCTTCCTGGAAGGACTTACTTTCACATAAAAGATTCTTTTTTCTCTTCCAACTCTCTTTCCCTTCTAGTTTTTAACATCAGACGTGAGTATATGCCTCGCCGGCTCCCAATCAGAACTGCGCGTTTGAAGTTTGAGATGTTTTTCCAGTCCGTGATCGTATAATTTTTTCTTAATATTTTCAGTCGTTTAATAAATCTCTTATTCGCCAAGCTATGCTGTATTCTCTCACTCTGATTGGTTCTTACTTATGATCTATTGGAAGATAGGCGCATAGAAGACGTCATAACATTCTTTTTTTGCGTTTATTTATTATATGAAACAAATAGATTCCATGCTGCCGTGCGTCTGTTCAGTAATAGATCACCGAAGATGTCAAAATGTGGTAAGAACATCAGTGACACTCGCCTGAAGACTCGTGTGCCACTTTTTGTTTTGGGATTTCTGAAACCGGCAGTGATCTAATAAATTAACTTGAGAAGCATTAGCTCGGGAATAAGCTATATGAATGAATAACTCTTTACCCTTAATTATTATCCCTTTTAATCTATGTAACAAATAAAGAAGCTTAAGCCTTTTATTACACTGTGATAAAACACGACGGGCATTTGAGAACACGAGGAAAATGCAGAAAACACGAGCCGCAGGCGAGTATATTATGATGTAGATTTTACACGCCGCGAATAGAATGTTTTTCGCCATCTCTAACAAAAATGTTGACTAGAGGTAATGAGGCAAAAAGCAATAAAACACGCCTTTTCTATGTTTTATACTCTGATAAAACATGGGTTTTTGACCTATCAGAGCCCGCACAGAGTCCTATCCATATTATAAAACGTCATATTTATACTGCTTTCATCGCATAATAGGTAAAGCTAAAAGATAAGGTAACCACATGTGTAACAAATTTTGTAACTATCTTGTTCAAAATTGGCCCTCAAACTTGGCAATAATCCGTGTGATTTGAATTGAGTGTGAAATGGTTTAAAAACAGTCGGCTAATGATGGGTACCCACGTCATCAGAACCATAGCCTGTTCAAGATGTACGAGTGGTTATGAGTAGCCTTCTTTCATCATAATAATACTTTATTCAAATACAGAGTACAAGGAGTATTTGAAAAGGAGGACCATGAGGTTATCCCTATTTAGGTCCCCTAACTAATTATCATTCATTATCGTCGTCGTCTTCGTCTTCGTCGACGTCATCATCATCATCATCATCATTTTATTTGTCGCAATAAATAGAAGTATATACAATTACAACAACGGAGGTATAGGACGAAGGCGAACTCCAAAAAAACCACCAGAAGTATATGGAACTGGCTTGCAATGGCGGCCGCCTCATCCGGGGTAATATCATTAAAAGAGATTTACGTCATTTGCATTTGAAAAGACTCCGCGCATTAACCTCACTTACGAGCTAGTTCCAGTCCAATACCGAGAAGACGAAAATTGTCTGTTGTTAATATAGTTTTTCATTTTTTTAGCTTTGTGTGAGCGGTATGATCAATTCAGCATATTATTTCATTAAAATTTAAACATCATCTTTTTCGACTACTCACTGGCGATGAATGAAAAAAGTGATGAAAATATTCGTTTCTTCGAAGAATGATAACTATAAATTGACTGATTAGAATGCATACAAAATATTTGTAACCTTTTGGAAAAACAAGCCTCCTCCTGAGATGGTTTTAAAAATGGTCCTGTAACCAGGTGGTTGATTCATGATTGAAAAACGTTACTCTGGTTTAAAAATGTAAAAATGTTAGCAGAAATTTTTTGTAAAAGTCCCAACGTTTCGGCTAAAACTTCAGCCTTCATCAGGGGAAAGTCACTGATGAAGGCTGAAGTTTTAGCCGAAACATTGGGACTTTTACAAAAATTGTTGCTAAAATTTTACATTTTTAAACCAGAGGAACGTTTTTCAATCATGAAGCTCCCTCCTGTTTTCAGAAATCGGAAGTAGTAATTTCGAATCAAAAATATTGTGTCAAGTTTCGTAAAATTCATGGGTGCAATTCAAGTCCGAATCTTTAGCTCTTTAAGACTTTTAGTCTTGTAAAATAATGTTTAAGAAATCCGCCCTTACTAAATTCAAACAGACATTCGCTTTTTTCGGGGTTTCCGGGCTACTCCGTCGTGTTATTATTAGGTCGATAACGAAAATCATTGCATGTCTGAAACTTAATCGTCCCTTAACAGTATTTGAACAACGATGGACCAAAACACAATAAGCATCACGCGATTGAAACTGTTATCTCAACCATCTAAAGTTTACCTTGGCAAGTGTAAGCTTAATTACCTTGGTAAATTGAAAGCCCGGCCAACGGAAGAGAAATATATACTGGAGAACTCACGTTTTCCTAGGTTGAGGACATCATAGCTAAGATGTTGTCATTTGAAACATAACTTACTTGTCAGAAATTATCTTACAGTAATCACTATTTTCACAAAGCACTGAATAGAACAATTTCCATGACTAAAAAAGACTCATTTGTTACCACTTAGGAAATTGGATATTTCAGATGACGGAAATGCATCGGTAAACAACTAGAGCCGTTTGAGTACCATTTTGATCTTTTGTGGTAAGTGGTTTTTGAACATCTGCTCCCGTCTTTCAGGTTCATTTCCCTGGTTACAGACAGAGAAAACTGCTAGACCATCGCTTGTTCGTAGACTTTTGTCATCTTTTGTCTAAAATCGGCATTTTTAGCGCCGATTTCAAGCTTCAGTTAAAAGTAGCCTAAAGCTAAGGTTTAGAAACGCACAAATGGTTGTTAACGTTCCCACCCTTTCTGGCTTGGTCTTCGAATTGCTGAAACGCACACCATTGCATGGTGAGAATTTCTAAACATTTCCACATTTTTTTTTTCCCTCAGGTAAAGATTAAGATCCCCACCCCAGACAAACCCAACTGGGCATGCACACTTTCAACCGCTACTGGCGCCAGCCAGTCTGACTAACGTGGCAAGAGTTTAGCAGCCCTCCACAAAAGTTTCAGCTGTCGATGATGTCTTGCTGTATTGCTACATTGTTAGATCCTAATATAAAGAACAGAATGCGCCCATCGCATTCAGTTTGCCGCAGGGAGTTAGCGTGAAAGGAAAGTAAAGCTTATCGTGGAAAAGGAAAGATTCGAGTGAAGTACGTAAGTCACGTTTTGTTTGAAACTACCTTATATTATGCGTACAATATTATCAAGTTGGCAGTTGTGTAGTTTACTGAGATACAAAAACACCAAAGAGATAGTAATAAATCATAGTGGAACAAGGATAGTCGAGGATGGAGAAGATTGACACGGATTACAAACGACGAATTTGAAAAATTTAGGCCAGACCTTTTTAAGGTGCACAAGCTTTAAGGTTATTTTGCAAGCCACACCCCTCTTACTATCATTTTATTTAAAATGGCAGGGACCGTAACAAGACGATGGTGTATTTGGAAATTTTTGTCCTCGCTGTTTGCGCTACGTTTTGCCTTGTCCAGAGTGAAGGTAACATTTAAGCACAAATCACGTTTGTAACTTAAACTGCTGGGGTCCTAGTTAAGTCTTAAAATGATTTTTATATCCCTGATAAACGAAATGGTTTACATATATATTTATAGATGGTTTATATGTATTTTGGGTGTAGGGATGGCTCAGTGGTGGGAGCGCTAGCCTCCCACTAATGTGGCCCGGGTTCGATTCCGTTCCGGTGCCATATGTGGGTTAAGTTTGTTGTTGGTTCTCGCCTTGCTCCAGGGGGTTTTTCTCCGGGTTCTCCGGTTTTCCTCTCTCCACAAAAGCCAACTTCAAATTCCAATTCGACCAGGATAGAAGACCTGCATGAAAAACAACTTAGGCTGATTTGGCTTCCTCTCCAAATATTGTAATATAACACCCTTTGCCAAACTGGGCTTTATCATGAGTGTTATAATCGAGCTACACTGCAAGTCTTAGGGCGTCCCACACCAGACGGAAATTCTGAAGAAAGCTCTTTAATTATCCTTGGGCTCTACTGTATATTTATGATCAGCATCATTTTGCTCTTCAAATCGCATCTTTATACTCCACTTCACCTTTTGTTACCGTTCACTAAGACGTATTTACTGTGTTAAACAACGAAAAAACGTATTCCGAATTGGTCCGAGCTGACACTAATCCAGACCAAAACCGGAGCTTTTCGAAAACGCTCTTCAATTGAGAGGAATTTGAAAACGCCAACTGTACGTTTTCGAGGGCACGAAGAATATTTTGAAAACGGAGGTTTTCGAAAACGATGATGTCTTGATAACCATGTGATTAATCCTAACCCTCAAGAGTGCACTCAAGCTTTTCTGCCGCCGGTGATTGTTGCGTTTTCAAATTCCTCCGGCATAGTGTGAACAGCAAACGTTTGATGCGTTTTCGGAGTGAAAAATCCTTTTCCAAATTTCTCCGGCGAAGTACGTGTAGACGGGGCCTAAGCTCGCTTAATTTGTAACTCATTGATTTTATTAATATTCTCACTGTGGCAGCACCATTCGTGTGCCCAACTTGTGTTGCCCAGGGAGAAAATGCAGACATTGATTGTGACGACAACATTGAGTTGAAGCCCTGCCTCTGGGAAAGAGATCCGGTTTGTATGCTGCTTGTCATCCCGCCCTCCATATCCATGGACATCCCCAGAAAAATAAGGGTACGAATGTGCACCAGTAGAGATAGTTACAAGATGTCGAAAGCTCTCTGTGATTATGTTAAGGGAGTCTGCATGGTGGCGATGTGCGATACATCAGCCTGCAAGGCAGAGTTACCCCCTGAAGGTATGCTGAGCTACTTTACCCTAGCTACGTCTTTCTCCTCCGCAGAGGTTCGAAGTATTTGTAATAGAAAGCCGCTGTGCGGGATGAGTGCAGGCACAAAGTCGAATAAATCGCCTTTCACGTAACTCTGCGGCGGCACCCATATCGGTTAGCAGATTCCCCCACACGAAAAAAAAAAAAAAAAAAAAACCTTTGAGGGTCTGCAGAGGAGAGTGCAGCCACGTAATGGAAAGCGTATCTTGAAAACATTGGTTTTTTTTTTTTTTGACTTTGTCGCTTGTCACCGGTCTTTATCTTTGTCAGTCAGTAGTCATTCTTATTTATTTTTGATCTGCTATTACACTTTTGGGGTTCTGTTACCAGAGAAGACTTTTATGTCAAGTTTACTTTAAAAGAAATCTTGTTAATCAGAAGAATTGTCTCAAAATATTCTGACATGGCTCCTTTAAAATATAACGATCACAGAAGGCAATTAGCCTAGCAAACAGGTATCTCGCTTCCCTTGCGATTTTCAACCTCCCGGCCTCTCCTATCAATGGACGGTTTTCATCAACCCAAACGATCGAGTAACTTATAATTAAGAACCCTTAATTAAGGCGAAACCTTAAACCAAAGCTATTGGTTTTCCTCGTTAGGCTGATTAGTATAGATTCGTGTGAAATTATGAGGTTAGATCAGGTTCGACCCATTCTTCTCGGCCCCTGCAAAACTGCCGGTGACTGTTTCAGGCCTGGAATTTGGTCGGGTACATCCTCCGTGAGGCTTACCCCACTCATGATATTTTCATAAGTATTGTTTGACAGTCTCGAAAGAATAATTACAGATGACTACTAAAATGGACCTTGTAGGACCTTTTACTGGCCTCACTAAATGACTGTTTTTTTTTTTTTCTTTCTTTTTTTAACAAAATAGCATTAGTGAGTTCATTCAGAATAGCCAGACAATTTGAGCTGCCTTACAACTGGAATTCAATTTATGTATTCTTGAAAATTGAAACCGTTTTCGTGTTGTTTTAGGGTAAAAATGTATAAAATTTTCCCTTGCCGTTTTGTGTTATGTTATCAGTAACTTTTGTTTCTACAATATTTTCTGGACGTTTGATTATGAACTGTTTTTTTTTTCTTTTCGTTCAATCGCTTGAACAAATATGGATTTAGCAAGTACATGATGGTGATGGAAAAATGACAGTTTTAAATTTTCATATTTTAAAGAAAAATAAACTAAAATGATAATGAAAATAGAAGTGTCTATTTCAATTGATAAATTAAATACTTATAAAAAGTTAAAAATTTAAAAACTAAGTACAATTACAATAATTACTTATCTTAAACTACTAATTTTTGAACCTTTTACTCTCTGTAAAACATTTTTCCTTTATCATTGAAGTTTCTGATGAATAAAAAATAGAATTGAAGCAGACATTGTTAGTTATGGTTGTTCTAGATGTAACTTATAGATTAAAATACATTTAATAGGGGGAAATGGTTAAGAAGGCGGGATGAAAATCAAAGAGCAAACAAACAAGCTAAGATTTATGTTTGAAGGTCCTTGACATTACACATCGTTTGTTTTGTCCTCATTGACTATGCATAAATTACACAATCACAATGCTTCTATTGGTTAGTTGTATGAGCACACTTATAATCCATCAAATTTTTTTTCGCTCGCACGTAATTGGTCTAAATGCGTCACGTGACTGAATATTCCCTAGCAAAAACTGGGGAATATCCCAGAATGTTCCCCAATTTTCAAAACCACGCATGTTGCGAACTATATTTGAAGGATAATAAACACAATAGCCTTCATTTGGGGCTATAATATGCTCGGATATTTGTCCTTGGACATTATCTGTTCCTCGAAGTTCACAGTTTCACAGTAGCTTTCTAAAGAAATAAAGCATCATAAAACACACACGGACATTCAACTTAAACCGCCGCTATATTGGATTTCCACTTAGGATCAGTGCCTTTCTACAAACAGCAACAAAAGGCTAGGTAATTGCTTACTTGCAAAAAATTATAACCACATTGTAGAAAAAGGGCTACCAGGAGCCATAATCGGGGACGGAGACCGTAAGCGCGCGCCATTTCTAGTATTAGGGTTGTCCCCATGATATGGGACAATAATTCTATTTAT